ACTTAATGTTGGAAATTTTATTCTCAGCAAATCCCAGTTCTGGTTGATAATTTGGTCTCATCTGCAAAAGAAAAACATATAGCTTCTTTCCGTCCGTCAAGCAATTATGGTGTTATATATACTTCATATTTTTGCATTTTTTTTTTGTTTATTTTTCTTTTGAGGGGTGTTGCATGGGGCAAACCTGCAGAATCCAGTGGCCTTTGAGCAAAGGATTGTCAAATGCTAGTTGTTGATAGATATGGACACAATCAATTATATCACCATCTTTGCTCTGTCATAAGTGAAAATTGTGAATTTCATTATAAACAGCCAAAGGCATTCAACATAATCTAATCTACCTACCCGCAAATTTGTGACTTTCATTGAACTAAGGATTATCAAATGCTGGTTATTTCGATATTTTGGGTATGTGAATAACTCATCTTCCTCCTAAAGAATTACTAATACGTAAACCCTTACCGGGAGAGTCAAAATAGCTTGTTAATGCCATTGCTATATCATAACGATTAGGCTGGAACATAAATCTGTTGAATGGGTTGATTGGAACAAAAATTAGATGAATGGTTTATATGAGAATTGGGATTTTCAATTAGTTTGATGATGGTTTGTAATATAGAGAGAATGGAAAGAGGATACATAGCCAAATGGTCAAACTTTTGGAGTTCCATCATGGACAACTAGGATTTCTCCCTGGTCCTCCATAGAAAATGTAATTTCCCCAATCAGCATTCTCTCCCACTGTTATATCATAGCAGTTTGATTTCCGAGCAATGGTCCTTAAGTAATTAAGGGGCCTTAATTTCATTGAGCTGCCTATCACTTCAAGATTTCTCATGTAACTTGCCCTCTTAAAACCTTCTCGTGGAAAATGGCCACTTCCCATCTGTGTAGAAGTTTGTACCCCATCTGACTGTTTGTTTAAAACTAGCGCACCCCATTCAATCAAAGAAGAATAGTGTGCTAGGCTTGTAAGCAAAGAGCCTGGCCAGTAACCAACTATCGTGTTGCCAAATTCTAGCCACCATGCATCTTGTGCTGGATCCTAGCAAAACTTAAGCAATCTATGAGTTTCAAAAATCATAAGAGAAAAAAAAAACTGCATTTTGTAATTTGCACAATACATACATCCCACCAATAAATTTCTTGTTCTTGAAAAACTAAATAAATGAATAAAAGAGCTACTTAAGTTACCTTCCAAATAAGTATGCTAATTTCGGACTGGGAACCGTTGAAATTGGAGAGGGGGAAGATAGAGCCTCCTAGTACAATTTCATTAGTGATTTGAACAAAGCCTGAACACAGCAAGTTGTAGCATCCTGTGGACTTAAAGTTGTCCCTCTGTCGACATAAATGTAGAGTCTATATATCAAACTAAAGTTGCATGATTAGCAAAAGTGATTCTTGGAAAAGGTTTAAGATGCTTACAGTCCAGTGCATGAAGAACCTTGTTCTAGCATCTCCGTATAATTCTGGGTTGACCTGGTTTTTTTTTTTTTTTTTTCCCAATCATACACAATGAGTTATTACATTGATCAATATTCTAGTTGTGTTTCACCCAAAAAGAGTAAATTACTAATTTACAAGGGATTGAGTCAACATTCTAGTTGTGCTTCACTAAAAGGGATAAATTACTAATAAACCCCTGTGGTTTTTCCTATCATCATATCACCTCGCTAATATTTATCTGCGTAAGTACATATCCCTTGTAATTTTGTGCGAAGTGGAATATAGACTAAAAACATCTTTGGTTAGATGATTGATTTGGATGTGCTCAAAAATGTGCAGGATGAAATCATAATACTCACTCATTTTATGGTTTTATATAATTATCCATTTAACCCCTTATAATTTTGCATAAATATCTACTTGATAACTATTTAGTTTTGTATATAGACCTATATAATGCCCCCTGTAGTTTTATGCAAAGTGGTTAGGCTCTTATTTAGTTTAATACTTAAGGAAGACTGACACTTGCATTTCAACTAATGACGTTATGGAGGGTGCTTTCCATCAAAATTTTGCTTTGCATAAAATCATAAGAGCATAATGTGAATATCTTAAAACGTTAGGGAGATTATGTGATAATATGTGAAATCACAATGGGTTGCTAGTTATTTACTTGAAAAAAAAAAAACTCAAATTGCTTGATTGACTGGTAAGGTGGTAGATAAAAAACTTACATGCCAACCCGCTTGAATGGTGTTCTGATTTGAACCAAAAGAATTCTCCGTTATCCAGAGCTGAGACGAGCTATATTCATTAGGTTGCTGAAGTTGGGGTTGCCAGACATTCATGATTGCCTTTGCTCCATAATATGCTCCCATAGCATAACTAGCTACAGACTGAAGAAGTCCAAGACGAGGGAAAAAGAATCATTAGAAAACATAATTGGACTAATTGAAACTTGTGATTGAGCCAAACACTTTGTTGTGGTACTTTATACGAAATTCACCTTAAATTTTCAAATAGGTTTACTACCTGGTAGGATTTCACTTGGCTGATGAGTTCCATGCCGGCTGAAAGCTTCTCGCGATTGGTTTTATCCTTCTGTAAAAAGCTCTTGATCACAGAGAAGAAACCATCCTCTTTTTTACCTCTTCTGACAGGAATGCTTCCCTGTGGACATTTCCCAGCCAATTGCCACAATTGAGTAATTGGTTTCTCATCATTCCTACTGTTGAACAATTTTTCCAACCCTTCCGGGTGATAACTTGGCGTCATCTGCAAAATCAATTGCTTACAAATTTCTTCGAATCAAAGAGCACAAGATTCATGAACACATGCAAAGATTGGATTCAGGTCTCAACAGTTGAATGCTCAGTTACTTTATATATATATATTTAGATGGGCACAGCTTTAACCATAATAAAATCCTTTCTAGTGAATGCTCCATTAGTCCTTTGTAAGATATAAGCAACTAACCAACAAAGTCAAAAAAAAAATAAAAAAAAAAATATAAGCAACTAGTGAGTGATGATGTCCAAGTTCTAGCTGCTAAATGTACCTCTGCTGAGGAATTTTGGAAAAAAAAATTTTTTTTTTGGTATATTTTTTTGGAGTCGCAAGCAATTCACAAACCAGAATTCGGTGATCCTTGAGTGAGGGATGATCAAGTGCTGGTTGTTCAGAGAGAAGTATACAATCAATTACATCACCATCCTTGCTCTGCCATAAAAATCACCATGAGATGATCATTCAAATTTTTAACATAAAGAAGATTTAGAAAAGCAGACAGATATATTCATAGAAGAAGCACGAACATATGATCTTAGATCACCTTGATAGACTTCAGAGGAGCTTTGTTGAAGTAGTTTATTAATCTTGATGCATCGCATAAAGCCATCATCATCAACAATAACATGAAACAACACAATTGATTAACCTTCATCTTCACAAATCTCTAGTTGCTTCAAACTTCAGAGCTTGATGATCTGCTTATGCTTTTGTGGCTAACTAAGATTTATAAACTCTCCTACTACTTTGCTGAGGTGTTCTTGATTATATGGCGATAATATTCCATACAAGAACAGTACTTGACGGTTTTTTTTTTAATTTGCATCCTTTGGATCTATGAATAGATTCCATAAACTAGAAGACAAGTAAACCAGCTGATGCTTTGGATTTACCGCATGATAAGGAAATGGGAACATTTGGGAAGAAAATGACAATGAAGAAAACAAAAGTTAAAAATGAAACAAGGGTCTAATACATAGGAATGTTCAATTATCACTTCTATCTCTTCATCCCACAGTCAAACAAGATCGTTAATCTTTAAGTCCAGTGGAAAAATCAGGAATTGGACGGCACCTATATGCAAGGTACTACTTAAACTATAGTGGCACATCTGCATCAAATGAATAATAAATCATGAACGTCATTGTATTCGTAAAAGGACACAGGATAGCTCTTAATTAATCTAATACGACTATGCACAAGGTACAAGGACTTCGTTTGATGATTTTGGTTGTATCCCTTTTTATAGTTTTTTATTTTCTATTTTTTGGTTCTCCCCAAAGTTTCTCGCCTTCGTGTGTAACTAAGGGCCTAAAAGCGTGAACATCGAGTCTTGATTCGTGGCCTAGAGGGTCGTGGCCTAGAGGGCCATAAGGACATGTCTGATGTCACGCCATTGAAGAATGATTGCGAAAAATGGACGGGTTAGTCCTGATTGGATCAACACCATCTTTTTTTTTTTCTATAGGAAAAAGTTTGAATAGTTTCGACTCTAATCACTTTTAGGAGTTAGGATATGCTTAGAACCATTGATCGCTTATAAAGATTCTTATAAATTGCCTACCAAAATAATCCTTGCAGCAACAATGGGACTCAAACGCACAATCTTTTATAAAAATAAATGACCCATTTTTATTAGTTGAGCCAACTTATGTTAGCTACAGCGTCATTTTTACTAAGTATAGGGAGAAGAAGGCGTTACTAGTTTCTCACTGGATCGATGACGCCTCAAAGTACACAAATACAACTAATTTAGATCAATAACTCAAGGCCTTTATAGCCGGGAAGAGAATTCGATTGATATTTGTAAGGTTGCAACTTCAGTAAATTAAGTCAATCAAATACATTCAGCTATTCAAAGTTAAATTGATCTCTTTTATAGCTAGTGGCATATCATCAATTGGGTACCATACAATTTTGTCAAGGGGTTGTGGTATAATCGTAGTCAACACTGACTAGTATGGAGGATTGCTATCATTGCCATAAGCTGCACGCCATATCAATTACCACAAATCACTGTCCTTTTCCCAAATCCCCACAGCTATCAGTATATCAAAACATCTTCTAATTCTTGTAGACCAAAGTAGCCATTATTAGAAGAGCAAGAAGAATTTTTTTCGTAGCCTTCTAATTATTTCTTAAAGAAACCAGAACATTTCATTGCCTTCTAGCTTGTTTGATGAGAAACTGAGATATTAGGGCTCCAGTTTTCGAAACAAAACATTTGAGCCATTAAAAACAAAAAAGTACGTAACAAGGTGAAATCTTTTGAACTTGATCATGGGCAATTAGGATTTCTCCCAGGTCCACCATAGAAAATGAAATCTCCCCCACCTTCGTTTCTTCCAAGTGTTATATTATAGCAATTTGGCTGCTTTGCGGAGGTGGTTGGGTTACCAAGGGGCTTTAACTTCAAAGATTCATCCACCAAATATAGATCCCTCATATAACTTGCCCCACCAAACCCTTCTTCAGGAAAATGGCCACTGCCCATTTGTGTAGTAGTTTGTTGCCCATCAGATTCTGAGCTTAAAACAGAACCACCCCATGTGATCACTGAAGCAGTGTTTGCTAGGTCCGCAAACAATTTACTTGGCCAGTAACCAATTGGCGTGCCTTCATAATGTAGCCACCAAACATCTTGAGATGGATCCTAACAAAATTCAACCCATTATTCTGGTTAATCTTATCTAGACTATATAGACTTTAAGTACACAAATGTAGTATTACGCTGCATCTCTTTGACAAACATAGTAAAAATCTAGGTTTGTGTATGTTAAAAAATATTAATTTATGGATCAATCATTAGTGTATACACCGGCAGATTTAGATGCATGACAAATAAGTCTAATTAAATTTAAATTTTAAATTTTGTATATGCGTTACACATCCACACCAACTAGTATATACAATGTTAGTGTAGAAAAAATTAATCTTTTATACCTTAAATATAAGAACATCGACTCCAAATTGGGCACCGTGGAAGGTGGAGAGAGGGGAAATGGCGGCTCCCAGTGCGATTTCATTGCTGGTTTGGACAAAGCCTGAGCAGAGCAAGTTGAAGCATCCAATGGTTTGAGAATTATGGATCTGTAAAAGCAAGTAAGTATATATTTCTATCAATTCTAGCTGATTTATTAGACGAAGTGATCCTCTAGGCAGCGGAAAAATGCTTCGATGCTTACAGTAAAGTAAGCGATGAAAAGCCTTGTGCTGCTATCTCCATATAATAATGGGTGGACCTGTTTTTGTTTTTGTTTTTTCCAATTACACACAAAATAACTGATCAATATCTATCGTTGCTTAAAAAGAATAATCACTATCAATTATAAGTATGGCAATATCATAATTAAAAAAAAAATGGCAATTCTTATGTTTGAAAAAATTATGCTTATGAATTGAAACTTACGTGCCAACCCGCTTGAATGCTGTCAAAATTTGATACATCAGAACCTGCCGTAAACGAGAGTTGAGACGAGCTAAAGTCACTAGATTGTTGAACTTGGGGTTCCCAGACATTTATGTTCGCTGTTGCTCCATGATACTGGTCATCTCCAACAAGTGCAGCAACAAACTGAGGAAGCCAAATTAAGGATGAAGAGAAAAGCATAAAGCATAAATAAGGTACATAAAAAGTGAAGAGAATAGACAAAACAAGCCTTTCTTCTTTGTCCAAGCAAAACAAAACAAAACAAACTTGAGCCATGCGAAAGTGTCTCTCCACCCCATAGTTTTCAAATCAGTTCAACATCAAGATGGGCTCATATGAAGTTGCTGATTGACCAAAAAATATATATATATATTCAAAAGGGGCTTATATGAAGATGAAGACAAGATTTTTGAGATGATATCATATTTTCGATCCTTATATTATCCTTTTTTTTGGTGGTAATTTGCGAAAGAAAGAATGTGAGTTAAGGAGGAATTTCCATGGTATTATCAATGTTTGCCATACACCACAAATCAAAATTAGTGCATAGGAGAGAGGTGTGGTGATATCGATACACCCCCTTGTGTAATTCATAAATGAAAAGGATTAATTTCACTTTACACCCATAAATTATTCACCCTTAGCACCTTACTCCCTTGGATTTTAAGCATACTATTATGATACTTTGAACATATATTCCTTTTAATGCGATAACTTGGACACAGACGAAATTTAATTAATTGCCCTTTCACAAATAAAATAAATTTTAAAGAAAAACTTCAAATCTTAAAGGGGAAAAAGGAGAGGAAGAGTCTTGAGAATTGAATTAGGATCTATAGTTACTTTCCCACGAATTGAACTAAATCTTGTGGATATAGAGATTTCCGAATTTGAAAAAAGTCATTTAAACTTGTGAAGATGCAAATAAGTTAATATCTCATAAGATAGAAGTAAGTTCCCTTTATATAAAGTTAGTCCATATCGAGATTCGGCGGCAAGAAATCCTTCTAAGCAATTAAATGTACCTTAAAAGCACTCTCGGGAAAAAAAAATGGTCAATACTTTCCTATTTGATGGGTTAAATTACAAGAGCTGAGTGATTTTAAAGAGTTTGACATGTATCAGTCTATTTTGTATATTATAGAGAGATGCTTTACTAATATTTGACAAACCGGAAATTCCTACTTCACTTTCATTGGTGCATTGCAAAATGAAAATTGATGTACTATTCAATTTTGATTGATGCGGGCCCTAAAAGTACTTCTGTATTTTTGTTTAGTTAAGGTGGATAACCAAAGAAAAATGCAGATCGCAAACTGTCCCAGCAAAAAAGATAACTTCTGTATTTTGAGATTTTTTTTTTTTGGGGTGCAAAATTCCTACTATAAATTGTTCAACCTTGTTTTTTATCCCTCAAGAATGTTTCGTTGGTACCTGCAGGGTTGGAGCTTGGCCAATGAGTTCTGTATTAGCTCCCTTATTATGAAGATTAATGCTCGGAATAAAGCTTGCGCCTGAGGCATCCACCTGTTTGGTTCTTCTGATGGGAATGGTTTCCTCGGGGCAGCTTCCACTCGATTGCCATAACTGAGTGATTGATTTCCTACGGTTCAACTGTCTGTTCTCAGCAAGCAGACCTTCTGGTTGATGTTTCGGTCTCATCTGCCAAATCGAAATGCATCAATTTGGAACCTTAATATCTTAAGCAAAATTATTCATTAACACAAATGCCTCTTTCCTTTATATAATTTCCTTTCTCATTTGGTATATAATTATGTGGGATACAAACTGCAATTAAACCTGAATGACATGGTCTTTGAGTAAAGGATGATCAAATGCTGGTTGATGATAGATATGTACACAATCGATCACATCACCATCTTTGCTCTGCCACAAATAAATTATCAAGAAATTGATTGTTCGCATGACCATATTATGCATGAGTAACTCGCAATATATAGGTGTACACAAGAATCTCTAACCTCAATAGACTTGAGAGGAGTCTTGTTTAATTGACTCAATCTTGAGGCATCACAAATTGATGATATTATTAAGAGTATTAGGAAGCAATGAATTGCCTTCGACTCCATCTTTCCAAGGCCAAACTGCTGTTTGAAATCAGTAGTGTCATTTGTAAATGTAGCTAACAAGCTGTACTTATAAGCTCTCCAAGTACTTGTACATTGCTTTTCATCAGTACCGATGGAACAATGTATTAATTCTAGCACTTTACATCTATTCTTCATTGTATGCAAACTTTTGGATCTATTAACTGCGTTTGTCAACTAGAAGCCAAGGAAATTAGCTGACGCCTTGGACTAATCGGAGAGGAGAACAATGTCATTCCTGTAGAATGGTACATTATTTCTTTTTAAAGCCCACAGGAATCAGGAATACTGTCATTCTGTATAACGGTACATTATTCCCTTTCTTCTTTTCTTTTCTTTTTTTTTTTTTCTTTCCCTTCTACTTCTTTTGTTTTAATTGTTTGAAATCTTTTGTGTTTCTAATTATACTTTCCTTACCAAGTGAAAATTACTCCATTTAAAGTGGCAATTTTTTCTCACTTAACGGGTTTTTTCTACTAAAGCTTTTAATGGAGGATGAATTAAATTTCTCTGCCATTTTTTAGTCGATTAAATTTCTACTAAAGCTTTTAAAGTACCTATTAAAGTACTCTAGGGTGTAAAGTGCAACTAGTGTAATAGAGTTGTAAGAGTTTTTGGTATTTAACCCAATAATCTAACCTACTCAATTACCATCCATATACTGTGGTATAATTAATTAAATAAAGTAGATAATACGACAAAAATTTTAAAATCCGATACGAATAACTTGAGAATGCACAAGCAAGAAAATATGAACATTATTTTACCAAAAAATACGTCATTGTGTTAATTAGACAATTATGTGCAACAAAAGATGATGTAGACAACAGGAGTATTGCCAAAAAAAGAGTGAAAAACAAAAATCTCAAAGATCGATGCTGATTATGATCTAAGGTTTTGCTGACTAATGTCTGAATTGAAAAAACTTTTTGACAATGGCAACTTATTTTATCCAAATGTCTCAAAGTTTAACTCCATTTCTAATCTCATTTGAAACATCCAGATGTACCCTGCTATAAAAATGTAGTAAGTAAACAGTAGTAAATCTTCCACTCATGCACAAAAGCCCACATCTTGATAACAAATAATTCCCCGTTGTACGGTAAACAGAAAGAATGAAACTTGAAAAAGATAGGTGAAAGAATGAATCAATGCTGTAATTACCACTTCAACTCTAAAAGGGAACCAAAATGTTCACTTGGGGCAAAAAGTTAAGGATTAACTCCACATTGTATTCCCCAACTCGTACTACTTTTTTTGAATATTTTGCACCCTAAACTCTTAATTTTGGACACTTTATGCTCTAAACTCTCAATTTGTCCTATTTAAGTTTAAGTCCAATTAATAATAAAGTTAGCAAAATTAACAGTATAAAAGATCACACATATCAATGCCAATGTGTCAAAAGTGATTAAAAGGAGTAAACAGATCGCAACTAGAAAAAATAATACGTTGTCATTAATTTGCACCATCTTTTATCTCTTTAATTTTATTATCAACATTAATTATTAAGTGGGGCAAACTTTTAATCAGTTTGTTTTAATTGCCATCCCTTTGTCCTTTTGACCACTTTCAATACGTTGTCATTAATTTTTGTGATCCTCTATTTCATTAATTTTATGAACTTTATTATTAATTGGACTTAAATAGAACAATCTTGAGATTTTAGAGTCTAAACTATATAAAATTGCGAGTTTATGGTACAAAGTGTTTAAAGGTTTATGATATAAAGTGGAAAAATAGTACTACAAGTTCTGGGTTGCAAAGTGGAGCTTAACCAAAATTTAAATAGACGTCTTTTTTAATGCTTATGCTCCACATTAGCAAGCAATTTATTTGAAATTGAAAATGAAACTGATGTGAAAATATGGTGAATAAATCAAAAAACATGATACGAAAACTAAAGTGTCAGTTTCAGTTGCTTGCTCAATTTCAAACAAGTTGCTTTAATTTAATTTAATTTGTTAAGAACGACCCTTAGTAAATGCAAACACACCACGCCTTTATAGCATTTTCCAGTTATTACCCAAAAAAATGCATGTGCTAGTGTTTTGGTAGTGTTTTGGGGATTTTTTTTTTTGTTTTTTTTGTTTTTGGATGTGGGGCTACAAAACGACTTTGAAAAGCCTATATCTATATGGTGACATCCATCAAGGCGCGTGTGTGCATGTACACATTTCAAGATATAAGCATTTGAAAATAGAGTTAATTTTGTATATACTGGTAATATATATACCTTATCACAGTTGGAAGTATAATAAATGAGCAAAATTTGAATATCAAATTTAAATTTAATTAAATTATCATACATCCAATAATGATGGTGCATACATTGTCAGTGTATAGAATATCAGCTCTTAAAAACAATAGTGCCTTTAGAAGAGAAGGAAACCCAAAGTTGGCCAAACACAAAGTGGGATCATAAAACCATAATAGGGCAAAATGATTTTGGATTTTTTAAGTAATTTTACTTTTAGGAAAACTTGTATTGATTTTGATTCCAAATTTAAAAAATACTAAATTGATTATTTACAGAACCAAATTTGGAATTGATTGATGAATTCAGTTGGAACAAAAATTAAGAACACTCAATTCTTTCAGTTTCTATTACAACATTGCAAAATATGTATTTAGGCTTATTCTTCAGTTTTCAAATTTTAAGGCCATTATGCCTAATAAACATCTTTTAATTCAACAAACCACATATCCAAACTGTAAATATAGTAACAAGTCATTCTTTCAAACTATTATGATTTTCTTTGCTTAAATTATATCTTATAATGATTTTCAATATAAAATGGTGTTTGGTGGACACTTTTTAAGATAGATTTCAAGTGTTTTATTTTTGGCGAAGTAAATTTAACTGGAAAAGAGAGAGAGGGATGGGTTGAATGGTTTGGGAGAAGAGAGTGTGAGTGAAAATTTTCGGATTCGACATCTCCCACTTACATTAAAAAAAAATGAAAAAGTATCAAAATACAAAGGTGTCAATAAATGTAAGCTTGTATCTTCAAATGACAACTTGAGTGCAAATTACGTTTTACTAAATAGTGCCAAAAAGTGGCTTTTTAGAAAAAAATCCATAAACTAATTAGAAACAAGTAGATTATTGAGGGTATCTAATTTTCACCAGAGACAAGTCATTAAGTGTAGTTTCTTCTTGTTAATGTTGCTACAGTACAATATATGTCTCCTTCGACTCTTCTCATTTCTGCACAAGAAAGACTTTTTTTCTCCTTGAAATAACAATTTTGTCACTTTCAAATTTTCTAAGGTTTTATAACAAACACAAAATATATAATAATTCGTAGATGCAAAACACACACGTGCACATACAAGTATAAAACTCTCTTAATCGTTACCAAAACTTTATTCGTCAGTACTTTTCATCACATGAGATTTAAAGATACGCATGAGTGTTTAAAAATTGGAGGCTAAATAAACCTGAAATTTATAGATAAAGAGATAGAATAGATATAGATTTTTTTAAAAATATATATATATATATATATGTGTGTGTGTGTGTGTGTGTGTGTGTGTGTGTGTGTGTTTGCATCCATGCTTATATATAGGATCTGTCCAACCAATACTCATTAAGTAATCCTTAACACGTGTAGTTCAAGTGCTAACTTTTTAAAAAAAAGTAAAGTTAATTAAGGAAATTGTATAAATGCAATGGAAGATAATAATTATCAGTGAATATATTCACATGATAAATTAGGTGTGTTGATTAGTCTTATTAAGCATCCAATTTTTTTTTTAAAAAAAAAGCCTTAGGAAAACATTCTTTTACAATAGCCAGCAACTTTCAAAGTCACAACTTTCTTATTTTCCCAGTTCAAGTACAAAGAGAAGCTTTACAATTCACACAAGAGAACACAAAAAGCTTCTTATTCTTTTCATCAAGAAACTAGACCATCTCATCCTCGTCTGGCTTATTGCGGAGAAACAGAAACTTAAACACTAGGACCCAATTTCTCGAAACAAAAGATTTGGGCCATAAAGAAAATGCATAACACAGTGAAATCCTTTGAACTTGATCATGGACAATTAGGATTTCTCCCAGGTCCTCCATAGAAAATGTAATCTCCCCAGTAAGAGCTCTTTCCAAGTGTTATATTGTAGCAATATGGTTGCTGAGCGATGGCGACTGGGTTACTGAGGGGACTTAAATTGTCTGATTCAACCACTACTTGAAGATTCTTCATATAACTTGCCCCTTCAAACCCTTCTTCAGGAGGATGGCCACTGCCCATTTGTGTAGTAGTGTGTTGCCCATCTGACTCTGAGTCAAAAACTATTCCACCCCATAAAATCGTTGAAGCACTGTTTGCTAGGTTTGGAAGCAAGGAAGTTGGCCAGTAACCAAGTGTTTCTTTGCCAACTTGTAGCCACCAAACATCTTGAGATGCATCCTAGCAAATTACAACAAATTTCAACCCAAAATTTTGGTTAAGCTAATAGAAAGTTATAAACTGTTTAGACTTCATGTGCACAAGTGAATCTAGATTGTACTTACATGTAAGTATCTTTGGTCATCTATGGAGTACATATATGTTTCTATAGACTGAAAAATTATTTGAATGATCTTAAACATTGGTAGATGCAGTAAGTTTAAAAGTTGCAAACACATGTAAAACTCTCTCAATCAATATTTTTGTCATTCGATATTTTAAATAATCATGAGAGTGTCTGAAAATCAAGCAGCAAAAATACCTAAAATATGAGGGTAAAAATATAAGGTTGGTCTACAACTCTGAAAGTCATAGCTTGTGCAACATTCCTATTTTGCTAGTAGATAATTTGGTTCAGGGCGATCAATTTGAGTCGTACTACCTTCAAAACAAATACATCGATGTCAAATTGCTCGCCATGGTAGATGGATAGAGGGGAGAGGGCGCCTCCGAGTGCAATTTTATTGGTGATTTGGATAAACCCTGAACATAGCAAGTCGTAGCATCCCTTGAACCGGTTCTGCAGAAAATAAAGATACACTATCATTTTGAAGCTGCTTTATTTGGAAAATCTGATTCTTTGGAAGCTGCTTTGTTTGGGAAATCTGATTCTGTGGGAAATGCTTGGGTACTTACCCACCAGAAGGTGAAAAGCCTTGTTCTATTATCATTATATAACGATGG